GTAGTTACATAAAAAAAAAACGAATCAGTTATATTGTTTACTTTTACTAATTCAGCAAAGAACTTGTTTGCTAATATTCACGATGTGTTGAGTATTTCCAAGTACGGCTACTAAAAGGTGCAAGCCATTTTTTTTCGCTAATTAATTATTTCGGTTCCGACGACACGCACATGCATATGCAACTCGATTTTATGGCTTTTTTTCCCCACTCCCATCGTACTCTTCTCTGTGGAGTTTCTTTTTTGACAGCGTCTCGAGCGGGCATCCTCTTCTGATCTCTTCTTTTTCTCCACAAGAGAACTGATTGATACGAACACGTCTCGTCTCGCTACGAGCAAAAGTCGCTTAATGTAACCGAACAAATCCACACTTTGATGCACTTTGTCGGTGAGGCTGGAAGTTGACGGGCTTCATTGGCGCAGATTAACGAGCGTCGTTGTCGCGATATGTAATTTGTTGGCCGTGGTGGCTCTCAGAATGGGTTTTAATTAGATTGACGCGTCTCGCGCTGGTAATTTGCAGCGTAACGCAATACCAGTTCGAGAGTTTCAATTTTTCTGAACGTTGGGCGAAATAATTGAAATGTAACTTGATTTTTTTTAACGAGTGGAACGAATTAGGCTATATATATTTTTTGTTGTTTAAGATATGGGGGGGAAGGTATATTCAAATTCGAATTTATAGTAGTTCGAAGGTTTCGAATATGGATCTAAACCAACAGTTCCTGCTTTTTTACATTTCGGCATTTTGTACTGAACTTTCCCTAGAATTTACTTAACAAGGAGCTTGTGCAACAATTTCTCCTTTAAATCAGCGTTGAGGGTTTCCAAACGCGGACCCGCGGAAACGTGGAGCGTTAACAAACACGATTAGAAAAGCATCATCTCCATACAATTGGCGTTAGCCAGTTGGGAGGCCTGCGTCGCGGACGTTCCTTGAAATTTTCCGAAGACACGCAACTGGGAAGTCCTCGATGAAGAGAACGGCGACGAAGACAGAAGGGGGACGGGAACGTCGACAAAAACGGGTGAAATCAGTGTCCGTGAATCGCCGGGGCCCCGACACGGCGCTCATTTACGCGCATACGCGCGCATCTCGTATCTCGAGCATGCATCGAATACGCGAGTGCATCGGGTTCACGGTGCTCGAGCAGAAAGGACGTTGGTGGAAGCAAGACGACGGGAGACCGGTGGAAAGAGGACTAGAGAACGGTTTCGCGATCGGGGCGGGCCCGCGTCGTCGGGCGTCGCTTCCGACTGCGTCGTCCCTGCCAGTGGAGCTTATAAATAACACCATCTCCCCGTTTCTTCGCGCGTTTCGCAGTTTTTCTCTTCCTCCACGGAGGGTGCCCGCCGGCAAGCCTAATTAATATCACGTGATGAGCGATCGCGCAAAACCTCGCGGCCCATACCACATAGCGATGGGACTGAGACGTGGCTCGATACCATCGACAAGTTCATGCCCCAAATCGGTACTCGTGCATCTTCTCTTTACTGTAGTTTCTAGGTTAACATGTTTCTGTTAGTTATTATATGTTTGCAATTGGCGCTTGCCTTTGGTATGACAGGAAACTGACCCAGAATGGAGCCGTTCGTTACACGAATCAATGAACTCTATAAAACAAAACGTTGGGAAATGCGATGAATTCTTAAAAAAGTTCTCTATTATTATATTCACAAATTCCAATTCTAATTATTGATTACCGTGTCATTGGATTGGTCCCATCGCTACCGAGAGGGCATTGCGCGTTGGAGCACGAGAACGTTGCAAGCATGAAAGGAAAAAAGAAAAACAGTGACGGTATATAGAGGAGATATTGTACTCAGAGGTCGAAGATCGCGTCGGCGAATTTCGACGCCTAAAAATGCTCGATCTTGTCGAGGAATGGAGTGACCAGAGTAGATAACAGATTAGCTCTGGAACGTGGTACTCAATCATAATTACTCGTTCGATTATAATTGAAGGCTTTGAAATTTGTTACTGATTGATTATAAATTCTTGAGGTGCTATCATTTTAGGGTGGCAGGATCGTGTAATCTCCAAATTTGTATCAGGATATTGCGATTCGGCGAGATGTAGACACACGATTAAGAATCTTAGGTAAAGAACAAACGAAAAGAATTCCCTCGCGATTTGTACACCCAAAGTGGACGATCGGTTGGAGAAGTGCGAGAGTTTCGAACGTGTCGCGTCCGCGATTGCATTCGATTAGCGAAGCGTCCCGCGGGCAGCGAAACGAAGAGGGAAACGCGAGAGGATCGAGTAGGCAGAGGAGTAGATAACGGAACGGGTCCAGAGAGAAACGGAGCAGCAGCGGCGCTGGTCGAGCAACAAAACCGCCCGGGGATATAGAGGACACATTGTGCGCGGAGGCACGGCGAAGGAGAGAGCGGAGAAACACGTCGTGGCGAATCGACTCTCGCACCATCTCGTCAACGAGCACTCGGGGGCTGCGTGTTGTGTGTTCGTTACTGGCCCCGATACCATCTTCTCTTTTTCTCTTTCTTCTCGCTTCCCAGCGGCGTGCCTGCGCCCGCCTTTTTTTACCTTGTTCCCTCGACATCGCCGCCCTTCTTTCGCCCGTCGACGACGACGCCGGGGCCGTGAAGTGTCGAAGACCCGATTCCGCTCCGCGACGCCTCTTGAGCGCCGCTGCCACACCGGGGAACGAGTACTCCGTCGCGGAAGACGCATCGAATAATTATGGTAACCATGGAAAGCATGGTTACACCTTTCAGGTGACGATTTTTGTACGAGGTTAGGCTACAGAATTATGCCTAACCCGGTGCGGTTCGACATCGCCCAGGAACTTTCCAAAGTTTGATCCAGTGCCTGAAAGAATGAAAAAAATCCCTAAAAACACATGTCCAAGTCGACCTTGTTTACGAGATATAGAGTGTTTTCTGTTCAGTCGTTTCGTATTTGTAAAAAATGCTTATTGATATACATGAATAACAAATGAGAGAATAGATTATGTAGTCACGTATACATACAAACATCAGCAGTTCATAGGAAAACAAAAGAAGAACAACAAAATCGTTGCCTAGGACCTGATTCAATAACCTCATTGCACTCTGTGCAGAGCTGTGCACTCGAGGACTTTTCACTTCGTTATCCCACCAGGGTCCAATCGCGAGCATTTTATTGTCCAGCAGGTCACTTTTGTCCAGAGTTACGACGACACCCCCGGTGGTTTCGCTTCGGAGGCACTTGGCTATGCTAATTATATCCTTCTTTGTTTTCCGAAGAGTGTGTTGAAATCGTTTGATGCTGGCGTGGAGTTGACGTCCTCTTTGAGGGCTCTGTCGCGGTTATTCCGATACTGGGTTATTCTCATAGCCACTATGGAGGTTTCTTCTTCGTCGAGTAACTCCTTGGAGTTTATAGCTGGGTATGAGAGCTCCTCTCGTCGTTGCGTTAATAACTCCGCAAGAATTCTGATGCTGAGTCCTCCACTTCGAGGCTGGACGGGGGATGTCTGACTGCTATGCATGCTCAGCCTAGCGTTTGACGATTTCATGTCTTTGTTGGGAGATGAGAGGTGTTTTAGTCAACGATTACTTTGGGTGCATCATCGCGTTGCTTCGGCCGCGGAAGCTGCATTATCGAGCCACCGTTGCAGTGGTTCCTAGAGTTGTTAAAGATGTCCTCAAGTTTACTTCGCCACCAAACTTCTTCACAATGAGTCCCTCGCATTAAAGATTGGAAACCTCCTCATCATCGAGTTCTTCTAAGGTTCGACGCCCCCTCCTGGAGGTCAGACCACCCCCTTCCATTAGAGACCGACTGCAAATCCTCGGTATCGCACCGCAGCGCATCGAAATGCATTCGCTCGATGGCGATACCCAACGTGTCAGTCGCACATCTCATCGGTGGCCAGCTCGACCCTCGGGGCCGTTTCGTGCGTGGCGTGTTCGCGGTTACCAGAAAGGAGCACAGTGTAGAGAAAACGGAGGGGGGGGGGGGAGACGGGCCCCAAGAGGCGGGGGCCCTACGGAGAGACTGAGTTTCGTGGAGAGTCGCTATCTCGTGGAGCACTCATCGCGGTCGCTTCGTTATCGGCCGCGCGGAATCATAATGGACCATAATTGCATAAATATAATGTTAATTAACAATTAAGATTGCCGCTTTGGCTAATTGAATCGCCGCTTCGGGGCCCCGCTGGGACCCGAATGGTGGGGAGGGTATTGATTGCGGGGGATTTAAACGTTACTGGGTATCGGAAAATTATGCCGATGGGCTCTGGCTCCTGAGTATGCGTGCTCGAGAGGCTCTCGTTTAGAAAAATGCTGGGATACTGGGTGACTCGGAAGTAAATTCGGCAATTCGATTGTTAAGGGGGGCAATTTGAAAATTTATTTACTGTTTGCTCAAGATTTAAATATATAGATAAAAGATATAGAGGGTACGAATACTTATGGGACTGACTGTATATTAGGAGGTGGGGGGCCAAAGTATTTTAGAAAAGCTTAGGTGGGGCATGGCACAAAAAAGATTGGGAAACACTGGCATAGCCTCTAGTTTCATTTATGTCAAAGCTTCAGCTGTGAGTTGGTAGCCCCAGCTGCAGTCAAAAGTGAAAAGTGGCTCTTCTCAAGTTACAAATAAATCAAATGTTTTCCACCCTTTCAATGAACAGTGAAGCCTTCCCTAAAAATCAGATAGTAGAATTCCATCCGGAGACAGCCTCTGGGTCGTGGAACCGACGCATCGATCGCTGCTCGGACGCAATTAGCGGGACGCAGATGCAATAATAATTAATTCCCGTTAATCCTCGCGGAGTGAATCGAGCAGCTCTCCGAAGAAACAAATGGAGGCGAGAAGCGATACGCGCAGCGTCGAATCCTCGTCGAAGGGGGATATCGTCGTTGTCCTTGCCGACGATGCAACATCGCTGCTCGCCTCGTGTTCCTCCTACCTTCACCTCCCTCCATCCCTCGTTCCCCGTTTGTGTCTCTCCTGCCGAACGAATTTCATTGGATTTCTTTTTCTCGTTTCAGATGGTCCAGGCGATCCAAGTCCTCCGGTTTCACCTCCTCGAGCTCGAAAAGGTGAGTAACTTTCACGATTCCGGCGTGGATCGCGCCTGAATCATCGAGCTACAGTTGAATCCCTCTTAACCGGTCTCCCCGTGTGACCGAAACTCTGTCTGGATAAAAAAATAACCAGTTAATTGAAAAATTCGCGCCGAATAGGTGTAGGTTTAAAAATAAAATGAAATAAATCAGGGTGAGGTACATGATAGGTCTTATTTTGTTAGTCTGCAAAAAGAATTCGTTTCATTACGAATACTCGAGTGTTCGTATCGATGATTGGTTTTGTGATTGAAAAATTGCTGGAAACTCTCGAGAAGTATCGATTCATCAATTATTATTGTTCAAGTTAAATAAGATTTCTGACCAAGAGATCACGGTCGTTACATTTTTGGTTTTATCCCAGGATTAATTAACCTCCTTAACCTCCTATTAGATATATGAACTCTATTCCACTTCCCAGGAATTCTAAAACGAAGTTATCCCTTGGTTATTAATACTGAAACTAATTAATAAGTGGTTGGCCCCGCGGTGCTGCTCGATCACCTTACAAGAAAATATGCGCAAATCCCATAAAAGTTCTTCGGGAAACTTTTGAAAGGTCTTTTTTCCTTATTGAGTTTCAGACAGGTTATTCAATAGGGAGTTAATTAATAACCTTCAAACCGAATGGTTCGCAAACCAAAGTTTTTTACAAGAAAATTCTGCTCATTTTTAATTCAGAAATGATCTTTCAAAGTAAAAGTAAAAATGGTGCTTTCGTCAGTTCACCTTTCAAATATTCAAAAGCAGTCAATCTCCTGCTCCAAATTTCGTTCACCTTATATTTGTTCTCTGTTGCTTCGATCACAGAGAATGGTTTGATCCGAAGGCCTGCTTAACAAATCGCAAAGCAGACAGAAGTGTCGAGCAGTATCGTCTATAAACGCAGAACCCGTACGATCCATTACCGCCTTTGATCGTCGTCTTTCAGCGTTTCCCTCTAGAGCAGCGAGTGTCAGCGGCTAGCATATTCTTGCGTTCGCTCCAATTGTTGGGGATTACCGTCGTCGCGGTAGATAAGCCGTCCGTAACGCTTGAAAAACAACTGTTACGAGCGGAGCGCAATTTTCCGTAATTGTAGTGAAAGCTCGGCACCACCCGTCGCCGTTGTCGTCGTCTATGGTATACCTTGGCTGCCGACTCCGGTCGAGTTCTAGCGTAAGTGGCGTCATTTAGCTGTCCAATGGCCGGCGAGGCGGACGGACACGTTGCCTCGAAGTTGCTGGCATAGGATCGGCCATTTCTCTGTCGGCCTGGGATCCCCATTTTTCCCTCTTTTTCCTCGCTATACAATGGCAATCTAAAACGTCACCCTAGTGAACACGAAAGTTGCAATCTTGAGGAATCCTGATTTATCCTCCACTTTTTCTCGAGGAGACGCTTTATGGGTCATGTAGATTTCTCGTAGACCTGGATTTCTCTTAGAATGGTCAAGGGAAAACCAATATTCTTGCTGTAATCAATAAAGGAGCAAAAGATGAGGATTATCTTTTAATGTGATTCCTGACCCTTCAGGTTCCCAATGCTTACCAACACTTTTCACCACACATTTCAACGCATTCCTCCATTTCTGCACGATCAGGCCTCTGAAAACGCACCAGACAGCACAGATGTGCCCCCCGAACGCGAGCTCCTCCAATTCCCGTTCCGTTTCGCGGTTTAATCGACGACACGGCGAACAGTGGTCGGGATTAATTGAAGACCACCGGTTCTATTTGTATTCCATGCCCGTTCTCGCGGGTATTTCAGTAGCACGACGGATAAATATTGCATTAGAAGCGAGGGCCCGGTGGTTTCGTGGGGCCGTTTTTCCCGTTGGGCTAACGATTGATAACCGTTCGACCAGTAAAGTGGCGGGCATGGAGAGTTTTCGAGAGGGCTCTTTGCACCGCCGCAGAATACCGGGGCGGGCCTGGTTTTTGCGACGATATTTTATCATACGAAATAGCGGACATCCATCGCATTTCCATCGAAATGGCAGCTGACGCGGCGGCAGCCATTGGCTCGGGGAGACCCTTTGCCCCCTCGTTTCTGCCCCCCCTTCTTCGATGGGGCCCGCCTGGATCGAGGAGGAGATCCTGCAATTTTATACCAATTTTCCTCGTTTGACCCCCCTGATTACAATATTTCGAAGACTTACGCGAGTTCGGCTGAGCTGCGTGCGCCGACCATTTGGGAACCGATATTTATCGAGTAGTGGAGGTGTCCTTAACCGTTTGTCGTTACTTCCCACGCGTGGAGAGACCTTTCAATTTGACTGTCGAACCGTTGCAACCGCGGAGTTTATAGTTACAACGAGGACAGGTCGCGCTCGTGGCAGCCTTGGTGTCCTCAGGGTTGAATCCTCAAGGTAATGGGGCAGTTATAATTACGTATTTATGCAAAACTGAGTCTGTTCTTTGTTGCATCTCTTTTCGAATCAATATTGAATTTTTTAATCTCCTTTTCCCTATTTTAGGCACTCCAAATTTTTTTATGGAGCCATATAATGGCCCCAACAGTCTTGGATTCTTATACGACGAAAACGTCACAGTGTATTCGAGCGAAAAATGACACCTTGAAAACTGACATGATCTCTGACGATAACATACCGCAACGATACGATCGCATAAACGACAAGAAACCACCATTAAGTTGCAGTGCATGAATAATACAGGCGGAAGAAAATAGGTAAACGGAAGCCGATTATCGACGTCGGACTCGCTCCGGCACGGGCAGATATTAGAGTAATCACAAGGTAGCGAGTTAACGCGGCTGACTTTCGTGCCCCGATCCTTGTCAGGTGACACTGATGTATGCCGAACATAGATGTAAATTAGATACGGCGACATAATGAAAGAATCAGCTGGGCGTATTCGAAGTGGAGCAGATATTACTCGATCAACGCAGACGCGACATTACATTGGATAATTGTCGTTATAATAGCCCTTATAGAGATTAAACGCGAAGCAGAGGGTAATTGCATGTCGTGATCAATCGGGGATCTAATGAAAAGTTATGGGAACTTGCGAGGGTAGTCACGCATTATATTCATTGAGTGTTATTATACGAGTAGAATCTTTTATTCAGGACACTTTTGGGATTTACTCTATCGGTACAAATATTAACAATCACTCTCTTGCAATCTTCAGATTTGGGAACCTTACAACCTTCCGATCTGCAACCCTTAAAACAGACGTAATAAAACTCTAGTCCGCACAAAATTGTAATCAGTGACTTCATCCTGCCAAGAAGAATTTCCGCAGGAGCCGACTCGCCTCCACAGCTAATCGAGCCTTCAGGATCGTTTCGGGCGCACGATTCCGCGGTTGGTCGATTTATTTCGGCGAGATCGTCGCCGCGATATCGAAGGCTCTCTCGAACGGCCGCGACAAAACCTGGCCGCAATTTGGCACGGCGTGAGCCGCGCTGGCATCGACGGTAATGAAGATTGAAACGTTCCCCGGTCTCTGGGGCCCCCGGAGACGGAGCCGAGCCGAGACGAGACAAGACGCGAGCGAGCAAAGCGGAATGCAGCGAACGCGCGATGAAGAAGATTCCATAAATATCTGCGCTCGGAGCGGCGAGGGATGAAGCGAGCGCGAGGATCGGTGGCAGAGTGAAACGGAGTAGGTGAAGGGACAGATGAAGAGGGACAGAGATGGACCAATGGGGGGAGAGACATGGTAGCCCGCGGTGCTGAGCTTCGTGCATTTAACATTTTCGAGCCAATCGCGTATTAGCATAATTACGTTTTGCAGGGGCCCGGTGCGCGGAAGGAAGGCCCTTTCGTCTCTTTCTCCCTTTTCGTTTACCTTCTGCCGTCTTCAGCCCCTCCCCTCTCTTCTCGCCGCTACTCTGTCCGTTTCTCGTTCCACGTCGGTCTTTTCTGAGTTGCGGCGTACCTTGGCGTCTTTGTCTCTCGTCGTCCCTTCCTCTCGTTCTCGCTCTCGCTCCCTTCGAGTTGCACTCGTGGCAACGTGTACACGCCATCACCGGTTAGAGAGCGGTAAATTTCTTATGGGGTATTATGGCGCACAGTGCATACCAACGGGATTCATACCGGCGCAACACGCGGACAAACCCTCCCCCTCCAGGACCCCGGGAGAACTGGTTCTAAGTTATACCTAGCTGGCTAGGGACATCCGCGTGCTTCCTCCCCGTCGTTTGGCGGTGCTCGTTTTTGCATACGTCTTGAGAGGCAGGACATCCGGATAGGGTTGACGGTCCAGTGGGGCCCTTCGTTAGCCATTTTTGAAAGGCTCAGGGGTAGGGGAAGAAGACATTGACCGGTACGGTGAAAGCTCTGGGAGGTTCGTCGACACTGTTTCTACTTGCAACCATTTGGAATCGGGGCTTGGCGTGGTGCTAATTTGGTTATTCAGAGTGGGGATCCATTGCAAGTTTTTTCAGAGATGATATTGACTACTTTGAAATATTCAGAATAGAAATTGACTACCTTGGGGCTAGGAAGAATTAAAATTGACCACCTTGGAATCTTCAGACTGGGATCACTTCTATTTCAACACTCTTCAGAAAGAGATTCCGCTACATTGGAATCTTCTACACAAATCCTGTAAGCTCCGCAACATAGATTCGTCACTGAGCACACCATCCCCATCTCGTCGGACATTTTGAAGTATTAAACTCGTAGAGCACTCAACGGCTACCTCGGTTAGACCAGTGGTAGATGAAACTTCGAACCCTAGTCCGTCATCGATCCCCAAACCGGTAGTCCTGGAAGAGCCAGCAGCATTCGTGACAGCGAGAAGCGTCTCGGTTCGCCCGAGGCGAGACGTCACCGCCAGCTGGAGAGGGAAGGAAACGACGAGTCGTTTGTACGTACACACCCGGTATATGGGTATCCTGTGCGTGCCGTAAGGGGTGGTCAGGTTGTGAATCGGGCCACGGGAGAGGAACCGAGACAGACACCCCGAAACCTTCATTACCTTCGGCTTCAAAGGAGCCCATTGTGCCGTAAATGGGGTTCGCTCCGCGCTCCTTTTTTTCCTCTCCTCGGTTCGTACGTACCCCGGATCCGTTCCATTCTTCGCCGCTTGCCTTTCCGAGAGCCCGTCAACAGAGGGAGGAAGCAGCAACGCGAGAGGGAGGGGGCAGAGGCCGCAGGGAGAGGAGAGACACTTGCTCGCTCGTTCCTTCGTTTACGTAAATTCTCGAGTAATTTCGGGGCCTTGGAATGAAAGGGGACCTCTGGCGGTGGTATAATGTCGCCTTGTGCGGAACCTCCCCTCGATCGAGGGGGAGGAGAAAGGCGGCGGGGAAAGGAAGACCGGGACAACGGGGGCCGTTTAAGAAGTCTTTGAATTCGAGAACTCGTTTCCAGCGTGGCCCCGCGGCCGTTCCTCCGCGAGCTTCCCCGTTTATATTGTTCGAAACGGAGGTCCTGACGGGACCGCTTTCGAGTGACAACATCGGGACGGCCGATTCACTTGGGAGATGGGTAGACAGCGATTTTGATCTTGAGCTGAGGTTAGGGAGAATCGATGGGTTGTTTACGTTATCCAAATGCAAATGAAGGAGGATTCCGTTAATCGAGTATGAGGGTGGTTACTTGAAAGTTGAGGTCAGTAGGGATCAACAGGTCACTTACGTTACTTGGATTACTTGGATTACGTAAAGACTAAGCGGAGATAATTTTGTTGCTTGTGTAGAAATTGTCACGTGAAAGCGGAGTAACCCTTCCTTTTTAATCTTGAGCTGAGGTAAATAAGAATTAATGGGTTACTTTGACTACAGACACATACACGAGGAAAGATTGTTACCAGAGCCTAGCATAAAAATTGTCGTTTGAAAACGGTATACCCGTATGTTGTTAAACGTAAGAGGTTGTTATAGTCAAATAACAGCACGCAGGAACGAACGTGTCCGCGAGGATAGTCCTGAACGGGGCACCCGGTGAAATCCGGTCGACAATTTCTCTTCTCCGCGCGAGTACAAACCGACACCCCCGTCCGTGGAGCTTGTTAAATCGGCTATAAAATGGGAATAATCTCGAGTTACAAGCGACAACGTCGCCGGTGTCGCGCGGCCATTTGAGTTTCTTCTGGCGCTTGTACACAGACGGAGCCCACCTTCCGGTAATGGCGTTGCCTCTGGTGTCGCATGTACCCCACGGGAACACGAGAAGCGTTCGCGGGGACGTAATGAAAGCGATATCCCATCGCGACGAATATCCTTGGTCCTTTTATTTCGGGACCGTTCGAGAAAATTTACGTTCGTCTACTTGTGGAAATTAAATACTCGCGCGGATAATTCCAACGATAGCGGGGCTTTCTCCCACGCTGGACCAGTGCTTCTCATTCATTCATCATCTTGGACGAAGATTATAACTCAGGGGACCCTTGCAGACTTTACCTCCTTGGAAAATGAATCGCAATGAACGGCTCATAAACAGCACCGAATGTACAATTAGGACAAGTGGAGTCTCTAGTGGAGTGAACAAAAGTCGCTCATATTCGCGAACCCATTACATCTTTGGCAGAAACTGCAGCTCGTCGTGCAAATTTTCAAGTAATTAAGCAAGACCACTTACATAGGTGCCAGCACGATGTCCCCACTGACAAACCCACACAGATCAGCAGTGGGCCGTGGACCGTGCCCCGAGAAAGGCTACCTCGGCTAGAAGGAGATCAACGAACGCCACGTCGCTGGAAACGGCGATCCTTTGAGACACTCGATATTTTCCGTGCCCCCGCAACGCTTTCCCCTCGCCCCGTTGACTCGACAGAGCATTCCCCGTATCAGAAAATCCGAGACGGTGGTCCCGGCTGAATTAGATACCAACGAAGTGCGCTGTGTTCCACCTAGCGTATCCTTGACTCTAGGACCAACGTATACTGTGTCAACCGTGCGACCAGCGATAGGATACGATACGTCACGAGGACCATGAGCGTCGTTCGTCATCGAATTCGTCCACCTTTCTGCCTGGACCACACCTCTCCTTTTTGGAGAACGTTTTCGCGCGGCGTTCTATTACCGAGCGACCGTAACACCGCTGCCCTTTGCTGAGGAGGATAGGGGCACTTACAAGTCTGTATCGCGTGTCCTAGACTCGCGATGCACCCGAGGAAGCTCTGGATGGAGATCCACGAGGACCTTTTGCTCGTGAAGACTCCACCCAGGAGTCGTGTACTCGGTATCGCCAAAGACTCTTGGATCCTGTGTCAAGCAGGTCGAGATGATCGTCTGCGGTGTAGGGTGACGCGAGTCAAAGGGCCGCGATAGTTCGCAAAAACTTGCTCGTATCGTGTTCTACGTGGGCCCTGAAAAGGGAAGATCGATGTCGATAAACAGCTTTGATAGAGGTTCACGGAAATGAGGAAAAGGAGATCAGTTTCTAGTCCAAGAGAAAGTATAGACTTGAACAATAGCGAGCAATTATTTTTCAAGCCTGACTCGATTGGCTGTTCATTCCAGTTCTGATTTTCGTTTCCCGCCAACGAAACGGCGCGCTAAAAAATGGCTCGATATCCGTGTTCCCGCGCGCAAAGCGTCCTGATGTCGGTATATGTAGGTGAACGTTCTGCGTGGTCCTTTCGGCGATCCAGCCGCGGAGGAGAGAAGAAGAGAGAAGGAATGAACCGGGGCCTCGTTTCTTTTCTTCGGTGAGCATTGTCGGCCGGTTCGACTCGACTCCCGGCGGATCAAATTCTAACCAGTCCGGCATTATAGCTGCTGTCCTTCGGGGCCCTCCGCCCCCTCTTGCCGCCCTTTGGTCCCCGCGTTAAAGAGAGTCTAGTCATCTCGTGGAGGCATTGTGTTACCGCATTGGTACTTCGGAGAAAATTCTGGCGAACCCTGGCCGGGCTGGCATGAGAACCGAAGCTGACCCGATATCAGGTCTTTGTCAGTTGCTTGTGGAACGTGATTTTCCCATGAGGCGAGCCTGGAGAGACCTGGAAAGGGGCTATCGTGAAATATCGTGTGGTTAGGCGTGATTAGGCAATGTAGAATCTTGGAAAGGGATCCTATTTTTTAAATGTTAAACAATTAATTGGACCTATCTCATAGCAATACTCTCCTATTTCCATCTTTTCACTACTGGTGACAGACATCCAGTATCTTGGATAATACTAGAAAACATCCACCCACTGCAATCATCGACACTCCCACCAGCAACTCTCAGACTCGTGCTTCACCGTCGACAGTCCACGTCTCCTCCCAATCTCCAGCTTCTCTAACGCCATCCACGTTCGACCATTTCCCAAAGACCCGAACAACTGGCCCAGCCAGATCAGTCGCAGATTCAGCTCGGGAATCCCGGACCAGCGGCATCGATCCCAAACCGGTGGCCCCCGAAGCATCCAAGGAGGGACCATTCGCGACAGCTCCGGTGAGAAGCGTCTCGAGTTGAGATGGCGAACGTGGCTGGAAGGGAGGGTATCGTGAAATATCGTATGCACGTTGCCGGTGGAACGTCGACTCGGCGGCGATCGTCTCGACAGAGGATCGGTCCTGTGCATCGGGCTCGCGTTCGATCAACGAGCCTTCCTCTCGCATACGCTTAACGCATGATAAACGCGTGCATTGTCTACGGGTCGGTGTTGGCCTTCCACCATTGGACGGTGCCGCCTACGGCAAAGATGGCCGTCTTCTCTATTACATATAAATGCCTAATAAGAAGACGGCCGTAAGTATCCACGCTAGGTGGACGGAGGAGAGGCAGGGAGACCGGGGAAGCCCCGACGAGAGAACAGGGAAGAAACCCGCGTACGCGGTCTCGCAACGAGGGAAGACACGCCGCCTCGTAATGCGCCTCGAGGTCCTCCTCCTCCCTGCCCTCCGTACCCCTCTTTCGCGTCGATTTACATATAACAAGATAAGCGTTTTTATTTGCTTTTGCTTATATAATACATTTTTTCTAAACCGAATCAAGCCTGGCCAAGCCGGGCAGCGGCGAGTCGGCTCGACCGACGAGGATTGGGTCAGGGGAGAGCGGGAGGAGAAAGAGAACCCGGTGAGGAGGACGGCGGAGGACCGGGTATCCTATAGGCCTGTCAGACCTCATTTGCATACATAACATTCTGGTCGACTGGACACCGGTCAGACCTCCTATCTCTGTCTCCCTCCCGCCCCGTGGACGCGGCGAGGCTCGTCTCGCGCTTGCGGACCCGCTTCCACGGCCTCGAGATGCAACGAACTCCTCGACGGCCTCTCCTCCATCTTTGTGTATCGATACCAGCGTCCGTATCGGCCGGATCTTTTCGGTACCCTCGGCTCGAGGTGAAAATACCGGGTGAACGCTTTACAGGGAACGATCGCGGGTCCTTCGGGTGGGATGACGATATTGAAGTGGGTCCAGGGTGCACGCGTTAAGGGAATAGTCAGGATCGGGGTGTTCCTTGTATCTTGGTGAAGTTGGAGTGAAATTGGGTTAATCCCGTATATATGTAGGAGACTCTACGACAAAATAAGGCAAAATATGAAATGATCAAGTTAAAAAAGTCTATATATTTTAACGTTCTCGATTATATTTTAAAGTGTCTTATAGTGAAATTGACCTATGTGTTTTTTGGTTCGCAGGTTCACGAGCTGTGCGACAACTTCTGCCACCGGTACATCAGCTGCCTGAAGGGCAAAATGCCGATCGACCTGGTGATCGACGACAGGGAGAGCTCGAAACCCCCCGAGATCGGTAACGGTCTGGACGGTGGCGGACCGAGAAGCACCGCGGACAGCACCAGCCACACGGACGGAGCCAGCACGCCGGACGTCGTGAGTACCTCACCATCGTCAACGTCTTACTATCCGCACGACGCGATCACCCCCCACCACCACCATCACCATCACCACCACCATCACCACCAGAGCCAGAATAATAACAATAATAATAATAATCACGCCGGTATCGGCAGTACCGCCACTACCACCCCCTTGCAACTGAGCCAAAACCAAAGCCAAAACCACCACCCTGCGCCGCAGTCGAACACCACCACTACTACTGCTATTACCCCAAGTAGCGCCGCCACAACTCCCAACTCCCTAAAGCGTACGCACCAACAGATGATGATGGCAGCCGCGGCGGCATCCGCGATGGCCACCTCGCCGCACGCAGCCGCATCCGCGCCCCCAGCGCACGCGCACGCCGCCCTCGCCGCCTACCACAGCATCAGCTCGGCCGTTTATCCGTGCTCGTAATAGACGCGACTTCCGTGCCGATACCGCCAGACCTTTTTCTCTTCTTATCTCCCTCTCACACCTTCTTCTGTCTTCTAACTTCTGTTGCATCGTCCACGTCGTTCGATCCTTTCGAGTATTTCGCCCGCGTTGGCTGGCGTGTCGTCGACGTCTGGATCCTCCTATCTTTTTTTTTTTTCAAGCTTCTCGAGAGACGTTTTCCCTTTGCGCGATCGGAATCGTTTGCTGTGTCTTCTGATCTTCCGTTCTCCAAGTCGATGGAGACTTCCGGAGCGCTGCTGTCGCGAGGCTCGAACGCAGCGCCATCTACGACGCGCGAACTCAAAGCTGTACCTAGGTGGGCCTGCTCGATCCTCGGAGCTCTGTTCGCGACGATTTCTCGGGGACGTGTCACTCCAGGGGTCAGGGGGTTCAGATTGTCGATGTAGACCGCGAATTGTTGGACTGGCGCTACTTGTCGGAATTTCCATGTACGTTGCACACGAGTGTCCGGGGCGTTACATTGTTTGGCACTTGGCTGGCTTTTGAGTTCCATTCACGATTTTTATTTCTGTGTTGTCTTTGCCTCCTCTCTGTTACTTCGCTTCTCTCTCAAGCTGGAACCGTAGATCCTCGATACATAATCACACGCGTAAAGTTTGTTCGATTTGGTCGCGTAGAGGTCCAAGCTTGAATGCGTTGACACGAAACATGTTCCGAGATAATAGATACGCTTCATATTGGTAGATTGGCTAATTGATACACGTTCTATCAATGGGTAGTCCAAGCACACATGCATCTGCGATATCACGATACATTTTGGATCAGTTCTGGAAGAATCAGCTTGTCAATTTTGGAAGCATCGACAGTGTCCACCTCGAGGTTCGCAGCAGAGAAGAATCTAAATTCGAGTATTGAAGGTGTCTTCAGTTTGGAAAGTCGGGTGTCTTCGAAACGAGCTGTCATAGCTGTGCAATCGATTCCGCGTCCCGGCGCCGACGTTGCTCGGTTCTTCCTTCGGTTGAGCGTCGTGGAGACGTCGGGACGGGACACGTGGTTCGCCACGTGGTGCACCAATGCGCGCGCCCTCCCCATTCTCCTTCTGTTTCCTCCAAGGTCTCTCGCGGTGCGGCGAACAGCGCGCGGATTCGCGAGCAAAGCGGGCATTAGAAGGGCGCGGCTCTTGCGGAAGGGCGACAAGGTGGGCCACAACGTCTTCATGCTGGGTGTCCATTCGAGGCTTTCACTCCTAAAATTCGCTATTGAAAGAATTAGGGGCTGCAGACGTAAGAAATCTTAGTGTTATATCGCGACGATGGTTGTACAGTCGTTTTGGCCGTACAACTCCAAGTGGTTCACAATTATCGTTCAGACTGACGTGTAGCTCGACAAGTTAAACGAGGTCCCTGGGCTCGATTAACGTCCTTGCCTATAGTTTTCTTTCAAACGGCATCAACTGACCAGGCTATAGGCTCGAGTGATAGCCTCGTTCCTTCTAAGTCTTTACCTCAGGGTTCTTATCGAACTTTTCGAGCTCTATTTGTTTGTAACGTTTCTTTTGAGCAATTATTTACGTCTGTAGCCTCTAGAACAGTCTAAGCATATCATCCTAAACAAGGGATTCTTCCAAGTTTGAGTACCAAGACAGTCATCCATCATGGAGGCTAATCCAAAAGAGCTCTCAATTTTGCTAGCGATTTTCATGAGGGACATTCACGAATGGACACGTAGTTAGGCGAAACACGCGCGTCAATTTCGAGCGTTTGAGCGATTCAACGAGGTCTCGAGAGATTCGGTTCGCGCGATTCGACGTCTCCTCGGACGCTTTCGTTGCTCGACTATCCTTCAGTTGGCTCGACCAGTTCTCACGGAGGGTTCGAGGTTATCGGTGGGGTTCTCTGGATCCGTTTCCTCTTCTTCAGGTGTCCAAATGGTCGAGACCTTCTTTAGCAGACCGGGGGATCGAATCGCGCTATTTTTTGTTGTCGACATTAACGCGGTTTGGCGTGTTTGTGACATTTTTACGCGATCGTCTGTCTTCTGGTTCCGAAACAGACCGTTCTCGATGGAGACGATACGATTAATTGCTAAACGAAATATTAACCGTGATCAGGATATACGTAATAGGATTAAGGCTTATAAGCGTGACAAGATGAATTTTGTGTCTATTTTTAAACGGAACGGTTCGAATTAATTTAAGAATCGCGTGCGTGCATGAGAGAAAGAAAGAGAGATATATATATATATGAGGTCAGCGAGAAAACGTGAGAGTGAATCGAAAACCGTAGCGAAGATAGACGTATAGTTTCTAACTTATTAGTAGCTTCGACTAGTGGTTAACCCGAGAGCGCTGATGAAAAGGACACGAAGGGACAGGTTGTAGACTAACGCGGATCGAACATATCTCACCTTGCTCAGAATACTCCCTGGATCCACGATCTCGAGATTTATACTCAAGGGAACCATACTTTTAGCCATACCTGACAACGAAATTCCGTTTCGCTTACGAGATTCCACGCGAACCGAGGATCCATGTACAGTATCCTGAACAGGGTGACTCGATCCGTATGAACGAGATTCGATCAGGCTTTTCCGACACGAAGGCAACACGGAGGCCAACCCCAAGACGCGCGATAACGCAGCGAGACGCCCACGAGTCGTACGCGATCGGAACCAATCATCGCCACACTAGGTCTCGGTACTCGTAACTAGGGAGTTGTGTGAGGTACAAGTCCTGGCCGGCAGGGCGCGCGAGGTCCACCCCCAATCCCCGTACTAAATAACCCTTGTGTTCAGCTGAAACGATGAAACCTGCGCAACCATGCGCCAGGAACAGAAGAACGGAGCCCCCCAGCTGGTGCCCCGCTGTTGCCCGAGCCTTTCAGGCGAGCTCCTTGACCCTGGAATTAGCATTTCCTATACACCCACACATACACGCATCAATTTACACACACGCATACGTGGGACATATCTACATACGGATGAATCCACATACTCGGAGGAAACTATACACGCATACACGAGACAAAGTCGTCATGAATCATAGCAGTACACGAGACTTTTACGCGAGCGTTCGAGTCGGTGTTCCACGAGGTACACGCACGGTTCACCAACACGCCTCGCGTGGACCGTGCGGGAGACATTTACCTGAGAGCAAAAGAGAGAGGGGTTAGTATGTATACGACACAGGGTCCACGGGGAACAAATGTTGGCCCCCACATGACAGGTACGTAACACGGAAACAGGGTGAAGGGCGCAGGGCACCAGGAGGAGATCTCCGTTCCGTGAGATACGCCGCGGCGATAACGGCGGCCAGATCGCAATCAGAGAAATTGAACGAACGGGAAAAAAAAATGGAAACGAAAGCAACAAGGGTGTGTACGGAGGTCGGAAGGTGAGCTTCGGCACCGGTCGGTCGGAACCCTAGTTACGAGTGCCGAACCTAGGGTCGAGAGACCTGCGCGGAAGGTCTCTCGACTTGCTTGCCCCCCCCCCCCCCACCATTGGGCCCCTCAAGAGGTGGAGTGTCCGAACAGAGGGCTAACGGAACAAGGGAACCGGAAGCGTTGCAGGATACCTGGAGAACGTGAGACGTTCTCCATTGCGTTTGATTGTACGTCGATATTCAGAGACGTGCGCGAACCACCACGCTCAATTTCTAATTTTTTCTTCCTTTTCTTTTTATATATATATCTTTAATCGTTTCGCGCGAATTTGTATATTTGTATCGATTTATTTGACCACTGAAAATTGGACGCTGCTATTCGAAAGGTTTGGCGTGCATGCTTTCGAGTAGTGGCGTGCATTCGCATTTGTGGTGATTGAACTCTTATTTTACGTCTTCCAATATCGCGCGGAATCGCTCGAAGATTCGCGTGATGCGTTCACGGAAGCGTATTACCGTTCCTGTGGAGAGCGAGTGACGTTCTTCTTGTTTCACTATAATTTTTCTTTCTTTTTTCTTTTTTTTTTTTTTTTTTGTAAGTTGGTTTCTGTTCTATCGAGTTTTCGAGCAAGTGTACTTAAGGGACGCTCGCTCGACCGTCCGAGAATTCGGTTTCAATCAGAGATGGGCAAAATTCTATTCAGCATGACAGATAACGAATAAAACAGACGTATAATGTTTTATTTGTGACGTTTATTCGAACGAACAATTAAGTTTTCATTCGTCGACAAATTACTCGGTTTTGTAATTCAATTTTTAACTTTTATTCGACGAAATTTCTGGGTCAGGATTTTGCCCAACTTTAGTTTCAATTACGCTTAAAATGGCTCGACTGGACGCATCGCGGAGCGTCTTCTCGAGCAACACGTAGGAGAGTAGACCAGAGACGAGCAAAATTTTATTCGATTAGTGTAGGACGAATAAAATGAAACGTACAGCGACTTATTCGCGACTAAAATACTTTTTTGTTCAGTGCCATGAAATATTTCATTCCACAAGTCAAATTCTAGGTTTTGCTCAATGAGTAACGAATAAAGGGTTATTTATTTTTTATTCGTTTTATTCGAGATTTATATGTAGATAAGAGTTTTGCTCGTCTCTGGAGGAGACTAACGTGAATACATAGTGCCATAGAGGTGCAGAGCAGGCGCTC